CATGGATCAGGCGGCATGTCTTCTGTCTGGAAGCAAGTGAATGAAAACTGCTTGCCAAAAGCCCCTGATGCACTGTTCTCTGCCTCATGCCCATGTAAAGAAAATGACATTTAAGTCCAGTTCAAGTAATGTATTAGTGACTGGGAAAGTAACACAATATTTGTATAATTTGTGCAATAATGCAGTGCTATAAATGGCACCAACAAAAAGACTTTTATGATGTGAAGGAGGTGAAGGAGACAAAGAGAGTGTTCCTTGTGGAGTTCAGGAAAGAGCTGGTGCAGGACAGCAAGCTGAAAAGGTAGCTTTTGGAAGTACACACGCCAGCTGCTCAATTTTTGTTTGTATCTGGCAATTGAACGACTATACTGAATGTGCAATAAGGGGTTTTAAGGGCAAGAACAGGTAGTTAGTACACTAGACTGTTAAAATGGGCTAGAGAATAACTGATCCAAAACTGAGCAGCATGCTTGGTTTCACATGAAGTTTGTGGAAAGAAATCTGAGGGGCTGGGATAGGGAACTGGACTCCGAAATGTACAGCATGAGTCTGAATATCCAAAGGCAAGGGAAAACTAATGATCAGTTTGGATTCGGTAGAACTAATAGTTGAATCACTGAGTCACAGAAAGGTTGAGGTTGGATGGGATCTCTGGAGGGCATCTGGTTCAGCCCCTCTCCTCAAGCAGGGCCACCCAGAGCAGGTTGCGCAGGAATAGGCAATTAATAAGTGGTGACCATGCTCTCCTGGCTCCAGGATGAGAACAGCAATAGTTTTGTGCTCTGGTAACTGACTTGCCACCCAGGATGGAGAGGGTTGAAGTCGTGATCTCAAGATCTGGTTTCTACTCCAAAAGGAAACAGTTACAGGGTGTGAATGAGTAGATCTCACACAGCGTGCATCTACACTGGTGTTTGGTTCCAATCAGAAGCGTGTTTTTGAGCAAGGTCCTGCTAGTTGGAGTTATGTCAACATTTGCTGAGCGCGTGAAGTGGATTCCTTCTTGGTGACACTCAACCCAAAGACCCTCTCAGAGCGCTCCATCTGCCAAAGAGCTTTCAGTCCATAGGGCCAAACTGGAAGTCATCCAAAGTAACCCTCCCACCCACTCCCAAAATACGCATAGTGTGGACATTGGGTACTTGACTCCAAAGGTTTCGCTCTGCAGATCTGTTGGGTCTGCACTATGTGTTAATGCAGATGTAACCGCATAATGCTGGTGGTGGCCCTGAAATGGACTCTGAACCACAAAACAATTGAAAATTGACCTGGTATCTAACCAAAAGGCTGCAGCAGATGAGCTCTTTACCAGGTCTGACTTCCCAGAATGACCCTTTCTATGATCTCTGTTTTGTGACGAATTTAAGGATACCAGTGAACTTCCAGAGTATGTGAAGATTGCAGAAACTACAATCCAAAATGGGTAAAGTTCACATCTTCCTCAAAAAAAAAAAAAAAAGAAAAAAGTCTGGTAATAGCCTGTACAATGGAAAGGTATAAAGTTACTCAAGAAAATTTTAGAAGAGGAGACACATCTTGACTTTACAATCCCAAGCAGAAAGTAACAGTAACTCAAACCTACTGCCTCTTCTGAGGTGTCCCATAAGGTTCTGGTCCAAATAAATAAAATGGAATATAGGATACAACTGGGATAATTATCGTGAATAGGATTTCAGCCTGTCAGTATCTGGGAACTGTGGAATTCAAGGTTGCTAAAAGAATATTAAGTAATGAAGGTCTGTAATGAAAAGTATTTCAACAAGAACATTAATATTTCTTAAAAGATAAAAAAAAAGACAAATCCCAAAGCCATCTCCTTTGAATTGCTGCAATGAGACTGAGCAAAGAAAAATTCTAAGAATGCCAGTAAAATTGTTTTAGGTTGATGTGAAAATCATCACTTACCTACAGTAGTTAAAATGCCATCGCCTCCACCCAGTTAATTATTTTTTCTTTTGTCTCCCCCCTCCTTTTTTTTTTCAGTGTCAGTATTTTAGACTTTGTTGGGATGGAAACTGAAACCGAAATAAGGGTATAGTTCATGTGTTAAACTAAACTTCATTGCAATTTCTTATGGGAAGGTGGTTAAAACAATACTCCTACAAGCAGCATGCAATACAGCTCAAAACAAAGACAGGAGTAAGCAGGTGTTTTGTAATTAAGGATATTCCTATATTCACCAATAGCAATTACCTTCTGTTGCATTATGGCCGGTAGTTTGACCGTCTGTAAAAGAGAATTAAAAGGAGAAAAGAATGAGAGGAAAAATTAATAAAAACAGAGACAGAAAAGCAGGGGATACAGTCAGCACAAGCACTTGGCCTTGAGAAAAGCTAAGAGTGAAGACTAAATATTTGATAGGAAATGGACTTGGAGCTGGTGTGAAGATGCCATCTTTGTGTCATGGGAAACAGGAGTTTGTCCACTTTCTTTAGACGAACAGGATTGTATCAAAAATACCTGATGCAGCCATAAGTCATTAGCTTTACAACAATAATTTTTAGGGGACAGAAAGATGAGAATGAATCTTGCTTTTCTTACAAGTTGAAGTGAAGTAGATCTGAAAGGAGGCAAAATAAATGTGGCCCAGAAATTAGACATGGGGAAAACCAGCCCTCTTAATCTTCAGCAGTAGGTGATATGCCCCTGCCAGTGGGGTTTACTGACATTTTCCTTCCCTTGCATTTTGTTCTTGAAGCTTGAGAGCCGTGAGGACTCCCTACATCCCTCTCTTTCCTGCCCAGTCAAGTTGTTCAGCCCCCACCAGTAGCCTGAAGGGAAATACAGAGCTGAGATAGGGTAGCTGGCGTAATCAACAATGTGTCCCCAAAACACCCCGATGGCCAGGATGCAAAACTTAATTTTCTTCACTAATACAACCAGCTTTCAAAAGACACCTTGAATTCTGCAGTAGTTTGGACCTTGTGTGGTTCACAGGAGAGTAAACAAAACAGAAAATCTGAATTCTTCTATTTCTTTTTCAGTCTCTGTGTTTCTTCTTTGCACAGCTTTTCCAGTGGCTCTTGACATGATACTGCCTGATTACTTCTGTGAAGATCCCATCGCTATTTTCAATTATTTTGTAAAAGCAAGAACATTTGAGAAAGTGGTTCATGGTTTCCTGTACCCTTTTTGAAAACTAGGTCTATTCTGTGTGCACCACATTGCATTATTTAATATACTTCATTGAAGTGTCTTTTTACATTATTTCAGTGTAACGGAAAGCAGAGATCAAAGAATTTTAACTTTCTTATTCAAACATAGTTTCCTTCTTTGTTAGAACATTACAGAAAAGATCCGAAGGTGGAAGAAATGGAGCATACTTTTTGGTATAAAGACACCTTTCTGTTTTTACCTTTACAGGGATATAAGCAGTGCTAAACCTATAACTACTAGGCTTAGTAAACTCATTCTACGGACTCATTTTACTTCTCTCACGGAATTCGCCCCTTAGTGATGGAGGATTTTCACTACCTAGATTTAAATGATCATATTGTTATTCAGCAGGTAGCCCACAGAAGACCTTTGTGTCGATATGACCAGGGAATGGGATTTGCACCTGTCTGTTTCTATGTAATGTCATATTTATCTTACAGATCTTTTGTTAAATTCAGATTGAATGTTTATTCAGTGCAGTCTCTCTTTTCTGCAGCTGTGCTGTATCAGGGCCTAATTCTAGGAAGTGAAGAGCACAAGACCAAATCTCATTGAAATGACGATTATTTGGGCTTGTCAGGCACATCTAAATCCTTGTACTACTCTGTCATCTCCTGACTGCGAAGAGAAATTTTTAAAGCTTAACCCTTTGCTCAAAATTAAACTTGTGCTGTGGACTCCCCTCAGCTTTGTAGAAGTTAACTTCCATAATCAGAGTAGAAAAAATTATAGAAACATATTTTTATGTGGATTGAACCAAAACTCAAGATTGTTAACCATGGTCTGGATTTGGAGTTTTTAGTTTAGGACTACCTTGTGAAAATAACAAGCATTTGAAAAGAAAGGAAAATCAGAACATAGCAGCCACCTTAAATTAGCGAGTCACTACAGTTTTTGTATGCCCAATGTGACTGTTATTTTCCCCCCCAAACAGTTAAAACGTATTTAACCTAGAACTAGGACTTCCTGTAGAAAACTTAGCTGAACAAAAGTACCTGATAAAGTTTCTCATCCCCAATGCTGAATTTTCCTATATTGCAAGTTCAGTCCACACCACAAACTCAGCTTTCACATCATATTTGGGTCCTGTTTTAGGAGAGGAATCATCAGTCGGTAAACAGGTATATATTACTGAAGCTCGGCCAATGCAAATGCCACTTTACCAACATTCATTTATTTGAATGACAAGGTCAGGTGTCTTGGGTGTTTAATTAAATTCAAAAATACTCTAGTAATATGTAGGTCTGTTGAAATGTTTGAAGTAGCTTACAATTTTACTTTTCTTGGACAGTCATGGGAAAAGTGTAATTGCTACTGACTGATCATAAAATAAAAATAAATATATGTAAATTAAAAAATAAACCAGTTTTCTAACTCCTGTATTCCATAAAAATAGGAATGTAGCCTTTCATGAGGAACTGCCAAAAGAGTCATGAAAGTGCCATGCTTTCTCTGTGGACACAAAATTGGTAAGTGTAAAATATTCATATGATCTGGGAGGACAGGGTCACTGAGATAATACCCTATGGCAAGTTAGAACGAAAATACTAGTAGTGAAAATGATTTTTTTTTTTAGAAAAGAAAATGTGAAAGTCATTGACAAAATTATTACATCCAACTAATTTACATTTGAATGTGCCTTAGTTTATCTCACATCTCTTTTACCACAGATAATAATTCTACAATAGCTAAAAGTAAGTGGTGTGACTTTCAGTTATATTATACAGTGTCTAAAAAACGTCCATGTTAATGCCTGTCATACAATCACAGCTGTTAGTTTTTTTAGTAGTATTTTGAAGACTCTCAGTCACTTCCAGCCCCCATACAAACTCCTCCCGTCCCCATCAGCGTCCTCTCCTTCTTCGCTGGTTCTTGCTCGGGGGCTTCAGGAGACTCTCTCGATATTTCACGTTTGTGTGGAACAGTCGGACCATTTCATGGTCTTTGTTGTCCAATACTCTGGGCAGAAAGAGAGACGATTTCTGTGTCCTGCGAGTTTTAAAGCCCCTTCTGGGTCGTCCTTTCCCATTGATTGAGACATACCAGAGTCTCTCTGCGCTGGCTTTGCGCTTGGTGCCGGCTCTGTTAGGTACAGTCCGGTAGAGACGGGACGCGTAGGTGTTGTAACCCAATTCATGGATCCTCTCCACGAACTCACACTCTGCATTATAATTTTCCTGTAAAGCAAACATGACAAAGTTTAAGACAGACTATATGGGCAATAGCTCTCTTCCACCTCAATAAGATTGGACTAAAGTCTTAAGCAAGACTCTACTCAGTTTTAGGATAAGGACAGCAATGTGCCTGTGAACTGGAGAGATGATTTAATTGCTGCCTATCAACCTTTGACATCTATTAAAAAGGTAAAATACTACAGTTTAATGTAAAATGCGGCTCTTTAATTGGTATATTAGTAGTCTTGCAGTCTATTACATCCAGTTTGTTACAGATATTTGAGCAGTAAACAACACCTTTATGAAGCTTCTTTGTTTGCTTCAGCATAACAAAATGAAAGTACACCCTGCCCACCAGTGTGTTCCTCCAAAATGCTAGGCTGCTCGTTTATCACAAACTGTAAGGGAGAATACACACCCATCCTGGGTGCTCCCATTTTACATGACCTGTCAAAATTTGCCCCTTTTCATCTGGTCCTCAACTGAGAGAAAACAGTGTGCAAAAGCCTGGCAAGAGGAACTCCTTCCTCCTCCCTGGCAGCACTAGAAATTGTGCAAATAAAAGGACCTCCCACACTGTACCTCTTTTCTTAACTACAAAATCATCTTTGCTGTACCTGCGTGATTAAGACTTCAGTATCCAACGTGTAAAGCACAGAAGCAGAGGAGAACTGCTACCATGGTCTTTACAGAGATTTTTTTTATTTAGCATTGCCTCTGTGGAGGACATGGAAAGGGCACAGGTAGCCAGGCTGGGGCCAGAAAAGCCATAGGCTCCATTAACAACACGTCTTTAATGCTGTTCACTCACCAGAAATGCTGATAGGCGTTTAACAAGATTTTAAAAGACTCCACATGTCTCAGCTTCACAGATGTAAAACGGAAGTGCCCTTCCTTGCAAGGACAAGGTTTTCATATGCCGTGGTGCTGGAGCCCACACAACTACCACATGTAGGTAGATTTGTCCTGCTGTCTGCCTCAGTTCTGGCTGTAGAGGGTTTATCACAGAGGAAAACCCTCGAGGATTATCACAATCTGCTAAGGACACAAAGGAATTCTGTAGACTCAACAAACTCATTTTATTGACATGGGAAAATTGGTGATCCAAGGGATAATGGAGTTATTCCAATACCATTTCATAAAATGCTCCCTGTATAATTATCCCCAAAGAAGTCAGTCTTATTTGAAGTAGGGGTTTGCACAGGTTCCTGGCACAGTAACATCAGCAAAGTCGTTGGTCAGTTTTTTCTAGGCAAGCAAAGCCAGGAAGTTTCTCCTGAGCTGAGCCCTCACCCTTTGCTGCTTCTGTGAAAAAAGCTGGAGTGGAACAGCTTCTCCTGGATTGTCCCTCCAGCTCTGAAACACAAGTCTGTAACAGTCTCTCTCAAACTTGAACTGGAACAGCAAAAATTGCCTTTTCTAGTTGTACAGAAACCTTTCACGGCTGATACTCCTTGGCACGTGACAGCTGAACAAACTTCAGGATGGCCTGATGCTCCTCACGCTAGAAAGGGAAGTCCAGGAGAAGAGGACTCTGGGCTATCCTACTCTAGGCTTTTCTGCACTCTAGGAGAGGAGCTTTTTGCTCAGAACTTGTTTAGTCTTGTTTTAATTCAGTTTAATTAATCTGGGGGAAAAACATACCTATTTTGAACAAGAAAGAGAGAAAGATGAGAAAGAACCTGAAAATTCATCCTTCCCATTAATTTCTTTGGGGCAGATGCTGGCGCTGAGCTGTTGGAGGAGCTCCGTTGAAAAAGATGTCCATTTTAATCAGAATATTAACTGGAAGCATAGAAGGGGCCAGCCTTAGCTCTGGCACAGCAGAGCTAGCGTGTCCTCTTTCCACTTCAGCTGCATTTTCCTTTGCCAAATTTGTTTGTGATCTGCTTCTCTGCACCAGCAAAGAACCATCATCTTTACACACAGGCCCTTTAATCAGTGTGCATCACATGAGACACATTACAGAAGCTGGGTTGTAAACACTATCAGAACATTCTTGAAAAGGCGGAGTAAAATACATTAAACCAGGGAGGGAGCTGGTTGATTGTGTTACCTAGGTTGCATTCACATGGAAAAAGCTCACATTGCTTGAGGATATATCATGCTGTTCAAATCAACAGAATTACATGTAACGACTGGTTGGAGGAAGCAACTTTCACATAGCCGTATTTTACCCTCTTCAAATCTGTTTCTGTACCACAGGATTCCTGGAGAAACTGCACAGTATGGCTGTTACACGGTAAGAGATCACAAGATTGGTAAGGATGTAATCAAAGACAATGGAAGAAATTCAAGTAGGTAGATAATGTGTACAGTATACCACCGACACATACGCCTTAGTATGTCCCTGATGTGCAGAAGTCTAAGCTAAAGTATTTTATTCACCAAGGGGAAATATTGGCTGTGCTGAAAAGGCAAGACTCCCACTAATATCAGTAGAGCCCAGATTTTACCTCAAAGATCAGGACAAAAAATGAGGTCAAAGGAGTAGAATAAGGTGTTTATTTTCACATTTATCCTCTTGCACCTTCTCATACTTCCTTTCCTTGCTATAGCCCTGCCTTTTAGTACCTGTAAATTCTTTCACTGCCCAAGCAAACGCTCTGTGCAAAGAAATTCCCATCAGTAGGCTGCTTTCCTGTAACAGAGATGCTCAATTGTTTCTGGGTATTCTTTATCTGACATGTATATCCTCTGCCAGTGTCCAAGACCCACATCAAATATAAATATGGATAATTTTGAATAGAGATGGATGTTCTGCACTGCAAAGGCTGGCTCCTGAGGTCTTTATCAGTCCACCCAATAGCCCAGAACTTTGGTCCTGTGAAATACCTTTGCCAAATACATTCTTCTGCCTTTGGCTGTACAGGCAACAAGAAGTAAGAACACAGTTGCTTTCCACTATTAAGAACAGATTGACTGGTTGCCTGTAACAATTCCAGACAGAAATCTGTTTTAACATTACTCTTTTCTCTAGACATGTTTATTTATAAGAAATCAGTGCTCCCCACTGGACCTGCTCTCCCCATAGGAAATGATAAGCATATGCCAGTCTTAAGTAAAACTTACTGAAGCATAAAGTCTGCCCCTTTTGTTCATGGCCAGGTATCTGCCAGAGAACAAGCCCTTGATGGCAACGATTCCAACGTCAACAGCAGTTATTTCAAGAATACCTAGAAACAGAAACAATTATGAGATATGTTGTTGCTCCCCATCATGTGTAATTTTTTGAGATACATTTGAATGACTGCTTACCTGCAGAGTATGATTTCACAGCTATCACTAGCTCACACCAAAATCATAGTGCAATCATGTGAATGAAACAAGCCTATTATTTGAAACAATATAAAACGATGACGATGTGGGAATTGTTTGAGACAAGCTTGACAATAAATCCCTAGATGTCTGATTGAGATTGAACTCTTTCAAAAATGAAAAAGATCTGACACTGAACTAGAGGTTCACTTAATCCTATATGTATATAAAAAAGTTTAAATCCTCTTTAATGCTTAGGAACACAAGAGCTCTTGACTTATTGAAACCAGTCACAAAGCTGTCCATTTCAGGACAAAGCCCTTGCTGAGGTCTCCAGAGGGTAAAACAGAGTGAGTCGGCTGCATTTTAGAGCCATGTATATAATCGTGAAAGGAACTTGTCATTTAGGAGGTCAGCGTAGCCCTCCAGACAAGGACGATATGACTGTCTGAGCCAAATTAAAAGGGAGGAGATTTTCAGGCTGTCAGAGATGAGGTCTCAAACACAAGGCGAGTGTCACAGGCGAGGCTGGCACAATACCTGCCAAAAGGCTAATGTCCAGCCAAAGGTGCCACGATGCTGACGGAGGCACAAATGGCTCGGGAGATGTTGTGTGGTACGCGCGGGGTGCTCTGGCTGCCTCACTCAAACTCTGCTCTCAGTTCTCCAGCTGTGGCCCAACGGCTCGGTATTTTCTGTTAGTGTTCGGAGGCGAGAGGTGACCCTTGCACCCAAACCCATTGCTGCCTTTTGGCGATGATAAAGCAGAGCCAGGGGCCTGTCCCCTTTGCAGAGCTGGATTTCTGGCCTGACGACGTCTGGGAGAGTTGGTGTGGTTTTGGTACAGCTGTTTTGAATCAAGCGCTGGTTGGCTGCTGAAAGATGCCTCCTCCAGGCTTTGATAGCGAGGGGCTTTTCCTCTAGGAAATAGTGGTTTTCCTTTATGGACTTCAGACAGATCCCTGAGGTCTCCCTATCTCTGTGTGCCATCACCAGCCGGGATTTACGCTTCCTGGGGCGGCGGGGCCGGG